GCTGTCCTACCAGGGTAGAGTTCTGAATTCCGAGACTGAAGTACACAAAGGGGGGTGGGGGTGATGGGTGCAGTGTGTGTGCAGCAGATGCTTCACGGCGTGCAGGGCGGGGCTAGTAGTAGGTCTCCTTCTCCACCCAGCCTGTGGAGACAGACAGACACGGCCGTGTGAGCCCACCGAGTCCAGCCACACTGGCGGTGCGGGCACCGTGCCCACAGGCTCTCGCCCGCATGGACTGACAGGCGTTGAGGAATGCCCCACGGTTGGGGGGGGACGGGGGACCATGGGAGATGGTTTCAATCTCGATGACAGCTTCCCCTACAACCTACCCTGTCTTTTTAAAGTCTATAAGGGCTAGATCCCAGTGATGGGCGCCTGATTGGAACTGGTGGGCAGCCCCCTGGTTCAGGGGCCGTGGGCTCTCCAGATGGACCAGTGAGGGAGCCTGCCTCTCGGGAGGAACCAGTGGCCAGCACTTCTCGCTGGTGTCCACCCTCCGCCCCTCCCGCTCCCAGGGCGCTGGGCCCGCACTCACCGCCAGGGCTCCGCCTGATGATGAGCTTGCGGACTTCGTCGTACACGAAGATGAGGAGTGAGTAGGGGAAGGCACAGAACCACCAGGTCGGCCTGGAAACAGAAGGGTGTATGCACAGTGAAGGCCATGCCGAGGGAGCCACTTCAGTGATGCCAGCCACGGTTGCAGCTGAACTGCTGAGTGAAGACGCGTAGGCCCCAGAGGGGGACATGCGTCCCCGCCCCGTCCCCCACAATTAGTTTGTTGCTGAGAATCAGTGTGTGTGTGTGTGTGTGTGTGTGTGCGTGCGTAGGTGAGAAGAGTGCTCCCTGCCCACTGGGTGGGTGGTGTCTGCCGTCCTTTTTAAAGGTGTCTGAACACTCTCCAGGGTGTGTGCCTGGAGAATACTGCTCGGCCCAAACCCGCTTATTCGCCCCTAAAGGTGCGTGTTCAGAGGCCCAGGGTAGGAGAATGAAGAGGGGGAAAAGCTGAGCCCAGGGGCATTTAGGCAGTCAGGGGCTGCCACTTCGGAGTCTCCAACCGGGAGACTGCGCTCTCTTGATGATCAGCTTCCCGAGATACACAGGCGAGGCCGGCCATGCCTGGCCACACGACCTCTTCCCGTCCTAGGTATGCTCCCAATAGCGCCCGCCAGCGTGACCTCAGCTGGCACAGCCACGGCAGCTACCTAGTCTACCTCTCAAGCTGGGTGGAACACATCAGCAGTCAGCTCCCCAGGCACAGCAAAGATGCCAGAGGGTGCATCCTCCGGTTCTGACGGGCTACGCCATCGCTATGCGATTTTTTTCCCCATTTCGTAACCCCAGAAAGCCTGCGGCCTCCCCGAGCCTCCTCATTAGAGATGAGAATCAAGAGAGGAGCAGCAATGCTAAGGAAGAGGCCGTGTTAACGGCACAGGTACAGATGCAAGAGGGCCAGGCTCCAGGGCAACCAGGGGACAAGCTGTTCACACTGGCAGCAGGGAGCACGTTGACTTGGATGGGTACAGGGACAGGCTAGGGCAAGCCCGGGAGAGCTTCCGAACGTCAGGCCATATCTGCACGCGTCCACTAGAAACAGGAGGCCCGTGGCTTTTAATGATTTTACGGATGGCAGCAATGGAGTGGGAGGCTAGCACAGATGGCAAAGCCGTTCGCTGTGTTTAAGCCCGGTCTAGTTCTAACGAAAGACTCCTGGTCTGCCCCCTTTAACCTCCGAGGTGTTCAACTTCCTTTGAGCAGTGTGCTCCGAGTCCTCCCCCATGGCTCGACACAGGACACGCAGCGACTAGGTAAACACATTGTTTTGAACCCAGGTCCCCACTGACCTTGAGTGACAGCCTGGCCACACACAGCCATGGAGGGCCTTCAAGGCCTCCTGCCATCAACTGAGCAACCCCCCCCTCCCCCCCAAGATACTGGAGCCTGCCTGGCTGGATCTTAGACCACATCCCAAGCACAGGCAGGAATGAAAACCACCTCTAGCGGTTTCTCTGGTTTAATGACAATCCAGGCTTTCCTACACACCCCCACCCATAGGAACCCTTGTACACATTCATCCAAGCTCTGGAAATAGTAACTATTGACGCAGGTCACGGGAGAAAAGGCACCGGGCAGCGCGTTGCCCTTGTGGAGGCACCGGAAGAGTGACTTACTTGAGGGGATACATCCTCAGGGCGACCCCCATGCCAGGGCAGTAAGACAGGAAAGCAGCAAGGGCAGTCTCTTCAAAGAGGCCAAATATCAGGATCTTGTTCCTGAAATGAAGGGGTTAAGAAGAGAGGCTGACAAAATGCAACCAGAATGCCATGCCCGATACCCAAGTAGGTGGCGCGG